CTGAATCAAATTCCAAGCCTTGATGGCTATCTTGTTAACTTGTTCATACACTGCATGTGGGTAACCTGTCTGCTGGTTAGCGAATCTCCCTATGCCTAGCAGCATATCTCTGTCCCAATGCGGATTCCCTGCCACTGCATTTTCTGCCGCTTGTTCATTGGCAAAGTCAATCGGGAAAGCTCTGAAGTCCAAGTATTCCTTCAAAGTTTTCCCTTTTTCACTGGCAGCTCTCTCGGAGCGCTCTTCCTGAAGCTCCTCCAAGGCAGCTTGACCGCTCAGAATAGTTTCACTATACCGCTCATCCTCGAGGCATGCTCGCACTAACTTCCATATTGGTCTCACTCCCCTTTCGAGATTACCCTGTTCGAATGCAAAATCCAAATCCCTGCCTAGTTTGTCCCATGAAGGGATAGTAAGGCTTCCCGAAACCCCATACCAGGGTGCAATGGTATCGCAGTTACGTAAAAACCTATGCAATGTACTAGGCTTAAGTTTCAAACCGTTTTCTCAAAGCAGCGCATTTAGCGCCAGAAAAATTTGATGGGACTGTGAATTACCCATCGTCAAAAATTGTACTCTTTCCCTGGCCACGGGTCAGAGCTCCTTCTGCTTTTGTCGCAGAACTTCCTCTGCTTTAATCGCAGAGCTATCCTCCCGCTATTGTCGCAGGACTGCCCGCTCTTATCGCGGATCCCCACCTTATTTTCCTGGGGGACTTACCAGCGCTGCCCTGACTGCAGGAAGTTCTGAGTTCGCGTTTGAGATGGTTCCCCGTACGGGCCACCAGTTGTTGCGTCCCTCGACCAGCAAGGAAGACACGACCCGAACTCTTCTTCAAGCAGTTTATTCAGGAACCTTGAACAAGCTTCTTCTTCCGCCTCCTTCCCTCTCCCATCCCTCTTATAGCCATCAGCACACCAATCAAAAGCAGCCAAGTGGCAAGGATTGATAGGTACAGCAATGCGGAAGCCAGAAGGGAGCTCAGCCATCTCCTTATTAGGAGTTGTTTGTTTCTCGCCAGTCCTTCCGGGAGAAAGGAGCCGGCGCTATCTTTAGGGCGCAGTGCAATGGCTCCCCACAGCAAACAAAAAAGCTGTCTGCACCTTAATGTTTATTGCAGCTCAATTCACCATGGCTAAGAACTGGTATTAACCTAAATGCCCATCAACAGTAGACTGTATAAAGAAATTATGGAATATGTACTCTATTATACAGCAGTAAAAAAACAATGAAATCCAGTCATTTGCAACAAAATGGAGGAATCTGGAAAACATCATGCTGAGTGAATTAAGCCAGTCCCAAGGGACTGTTCCTATGTTCTCCCTGATGGTAGACATCTAACTGAGCACCAAAAAGGAAACCTGGTGAAGTGAAATGGACACTATGAGAAACAGTGACTTGATCAGCCCTTGTCCTGACTGTTGATGTACAATTTAATACTTTATCCCTTTTAGTATTTTTTTGTTCTACTTAATACTATTGGTGGAACTCTGTAATTAACACACAATTATTCTTAGGTGTTTAACTGAAAAGTGATCTCTGTTAAATATAAGAGTGGGAATATGAGAGGGAGGAGGTGTACAATTTGGGACATGCTCAAGCTGACTTCCCCAAATGGTAGAGTTAGAAATGTGCCAGGGGATTCCAATTGAATCCCATCAAGGTGGCATGAACCAATGCCATCTCACTAGTCCAAGTGATTAATTTCAGTTCACAACTGATCATACTGATAGGTTGAAGAGTCAAAGGGATCACATAACAAGACTAGTATCTGCTAATACTAACTGATAGAATGAAAAAGGGAGAAAACAATCCAACATGGGAAGCGGGATACACAGCAGACTCATAGAATGGCAGATGTCCTAAACAGCACTCTGGCCTCAGAATCAGCCCTTAAGGCATTCGGATCTGACTGAACAGCCCATGAGAGTATTTTAGGCATGGAAAGCCAAGACACTCTGGCAAAAATAAATAAATAAATAAATTAATAAATTAATAAATATATAAAAACCCTAAATGAAAGATCTGCGAGTGAGATCCCAGTGGAAACAACAGGTCCATCAAAGAAGGAGGTGCCTTTCTCTGAAGGGAGGAGAGAACTTCCACTTTGACTATGACCCTGTCTAAATAAGATCCAAGTCGGTGAACTCAAAAGGCTTCCATAACCTTGGCAACTCATGACAAGATCCTAGTGAGATTACTGATGCCATAAACAAGAGTGTCAAATTGTTAAGTCAACAACAGGAGTCACTGTGTACTTACTCCTCATGTAGAATCTCTGTCCTCAATGTGTTGTCCAATATGAAGTAATGCTATAACTAGTACTGAAACAGTATTTTACACTTTATGTTCTGTGTGGTTGTAAATATAAAGATAATTGAAAATGAATTGATGTGAATGGAATGGGAGAGGGAGCATGAAAGGGGAGGGTTGCGGGTGGGAGGAAAATTATGGGGGAAAAAGCCATTTTAATCCATAAACTGTACTTTTGAAATTTATATTTACCAAATAAAAGCTGTACTTTTGAAATTTATATTTACCAAATAAAAGTTAATAAAAAGATTTACTTTTTGAGAGGCAGAATGTCAGTGTGTGTGTGTATATATATATATGTATATATATATATAGAGATTATATATATATATGTATATATATATATATATATAGAGAGAGAGAGAGAGAGAGAGATCGATCTTCCATATACTTCCTCATTCTTCAAGTGGCTGCGATGGCCAGGTCTGGGCTAAGGTGAAGCCAGGAGCCAAGAATTCCACTCTGATCTCTCACGTGGGTGTGGTGTGTCAGTGGCCCAAGAATTGGGCCATCATTTGCTGCTTCCAAGGTGCATTAGTCGAAAACTGGATGGGAAGCAGAGCATCTAGGACAAGAGCCAGAACTCTGATATGGGATGCAGGCATTGCAAGCAGAAGATTAATTGGCTGCACCACACTGCCAGCCCTCCTAGCTGAATTTTTGCTTTGATCTTGAATTCAGCCAATTAAACAGTCTAAGATGCTGTAGATTATTGTCTGCAATTATTGTTCAATAAATGGAAACAAATCTAACAGCACACAAGCCAGGGTAGGATACAGTATACATAAGACTGGTCATGCACAATAAGGGTGCAACTTATCTTTTCAAATTGGGAAGAAGGCAGAATATAATACAGGGAGATAGAAGCAGTGAAATTAACAGGTAATACACACTGATCAATTCATTTCCTCCCCTCTCCAAAAACTCAAAGACTAACCTCAATGTAGACATAAAAAAACTGATCATAAGTGGGTTCAGACATGAAGAGCATGAGGATTTTCCACAATATCCAAGAGGAGGCTTAGAAATATAATGTAGATGAAGGATCTCTGTGAGTGAGAGCCCAGGGGGAAAGAAGGGGCAATCAAAGAAGGATGTAGTTTTCTCTGAATTGAGGAAAGAACTTCCACTTTGCTTGTGGCCCTGTCTAAATACTGACAGTTTGTGGACTCAAAAGGCTTCTATAGCCTTGGCCTCGGGTGATCACTGACATCATAAATAAGAGTGCCAATTGTTAAATCAACAACAGAAGTCACTGTGCACTTACTCCCCATGTAGGACCTCTGTCGTTAATGAGTTGTACTATGAGAATTAATTGTAAAATCAGTTCTCAGTTTTTGTGTGTGGGTGTGCAAATTATTGAAGTCTTTACTTAGTATAGAATTATTCTTTTGGGGCCTGGTGCTGTGGTGCAGTGGGTTAATGCCCTGGCCTGAAGTGCCCACATCCCATATGAGTGCCGGTTCGAGACCTGGCTGCTCCACTTCTGATCCAGATCTTTGTTATGGCTTGGGAAGGAAGTAGAAGATGGCCCAAGTCCTGCACCCATGGGGGAGACTGGGAAGAAGCTCCTGACTCCTGGCTTCAGATTGGCACAGCTCCAGCTGTTGTGGCCAATTGTGAAGTGAACCAGCGGATGGAAGACCTCTCTATCCCTTTCCCTCTCCCTCTTCTCTCTTTCAAACAAATGAATAAATCTTAAAAAAAGGAATTGGTCTTTTGTGTACAAAGTCAATTGACAATGAACCTTAATGGAGATTGGGACTTGTGAGAGGAGAGAGACAAGGAGGAGAGTTGGGAGTTTGGGTGGGAGGGCAGGATTGTGGGAAATAATAACTATATTCCTAAGTTGCACTTATGAAATCTGTATTCCTTAAAGAATAAATTCAAAAACATAAATTTAAAAAAATTTTTTAAAAAGAAATGTAGTATAGAGATCATGGCTGAATGTAGACTGTGAAGAGACCAGCAGAGCTCCTGCACTTCTGTTGGGGGATGGCAGCCTTGCACCAGATCATTGGAATTTAGGATGGATTCAAGCACAGGGACAGTCAACTGATGCAATAATAGAAGGGAAACAAGCTGCAGGGACTTGTACTGATTTGCTTCTTCTAGTTTATGCTCTGTGTCATGACAGCATTTGAATTCCTCTGCGCGGTTTGTCAGGTGGGACTGCACTAAGTTCCCTTCCAGCTACACAACAGATGCATTTTTGTGCAGGAAAATTCTTTTATCTTGAATCACACCACTGAGCTGGAGTTCAAGCTCCCTTGGAAGTCATCACAAGGTCACAAATATAGAAGTGATCTCTTAGGGCTGGTGCTGTGGTGTTGCAGGTTAAAGCCCCATGTGCATCCCATATGGGCACTGGTTCAAGTCCCAGATTCTCCACTTCCAATCCAGCTCTCTGCTATGGCTTGGGAAAGTAGTGGAAGATGGCCCAAGTACTTGGGCCCCTGCACCCATGTGGGAGACCTAGAATAAGCTCATGCTCCTGGCTTTCAATCAGCTCAGCTGCAGCCATTGCAGCTATTTGGGGAGTGAACCAGCGGATGGATGACATCTCTCTCTCTCTCTCTCTCTCTCTCCCTCTCTGCCTCTCTCTGTAACTCTTTCAAATAAATAATATAAATCTTAAAAAAAAGTGATTTCTGAATTTAAAGGAGGTACATGGTCAAGAGGGGAAACGTCTCCTATCATAAAGAGTAGAAAAGTGATAAAATGAATTAAATTTGAGACAGTGTTGTCAAAGGAATGGACATTGCAGGAAATAAACAGAAGCACTGAGTTACATTTATGTCTAATCTGATTAGTGAGGAACAATTTCTGGCTTCCATGATTTGACCTCTGCAATCACGGGCATATCTATAGAGATGGGTTGACTGACACATCTCCGGATTTCCTCCTGAAGAACCTCTTCAAAGCCCTCTTAATATCTTTATTCCTCAGGCTGTAGATGAAGGGGTTCATCATGGGGGTGACCACAGTGTACATCAGTGAGGCTGTTGCAGTTGAATGTGTATTTTGGGTAACAGCAGAACTGAGGTACACTCCCAGGACTGTGCCATAGAATAAGGAGACGACAGTGAGGTGAGAGACACAGGTGGAGAATGCTTTATACTTCCCCTGAGCTGATGAGATGGCACGGATGGAGGAGATGATCTTAGAGTAGGAATACAAGATCCCAGCCAGAGGACCTGCACCCAGCAGCACGGATGCAAAATAGATGAGGATGTCATTGAGAAAGGTGTCAGAGCAGGCAGTGTGGACGACCTGATCCAGCTCACAGAAGAAGTGGGGGATTTCCAGGTGTGCGCAGAAGGACAGCCGCAGCACCATTAGGCTTTGCAAAAATGAATTCAGAGCACTGATGACCCAGGACAGCAGAACCAGCTGCACACAGAGCTGGGGGCTCATGATGACCATGTAGAGCAGGGGGTGACAGATGGCCACAAACCTATCATAGGCCATCACAGTCAGGAGAAGGTCATCTAACCCTCCAAAAAGCAATAAAAAGTACATCTGGGTGATGCAGCCTGTATAGCTGATGGCTTTGCTCTGCATCTGGATGTTCACCAGCATCTTGGGGATGGTGGTGGAGGTGAAGCAGACGTCCACCAAGGACAGGTTGGAGAGGAAGAAGTACATGGGTGTGTGGAGGTGGGTGTCTGAGAGGATGGCCAGGACGATGAGCAGGTTCCCAGCCACAGTGACCAGGTACATGGAGAGGAAGAGCCCACATATGAGTGGCTGCAGTGCTGGGTCCTCTGAGAATCCCAGGAGAAGGAATTCTGAAGGTTGAGTTTCATTGCCTGGTTCCATGCATTTGATGTGACTGCAAAACAAGGGAAAGAAAAACATGGCATGAGCATGCATTTGTCACCTGTTGTAAGTTCTGCTGTTTATATTCTACAGTCAATAACTCAAGTTTCCTGCTTTGCGTCAGACTCCCATAGGGCACCCTGCATCATCTCTGATTAGGCATTTCTGTCCTGCTCTCACACTTTATCCAAGATGTCAGGTGTTCCATCATTTTCATGAGAAATCATTTCAGGTGTTGTGGATGATGAATCAGATGTAGACCTTACTCTACCATCTAGATAACAGGCAAACTGTGTGGAAAAACTCATGTCTCTATCATAAAATGAAGCAGAGAGCACAATGAGCATCCATCAAAAGATTCCTGGAATATCAATCAAAATATAACTTTAAGTCCAGGACAAAGAAAATTGAGATTCATGCACATTATTTTTTAAATAAAATGCATTTCATGAACTTTCTGATATGTGAATTTCAAAATGTATTTTTTCCAGGATGAATTTATCTTTGCCTCCCCTGTCCACGGATTCTTGGAATTGTCTTAGTGCTATGTCAGTTGGGGAAAGTGATAAGCAGAAAACAGGAATGTGATAAAAAAGAGACAGCAAAAAGACTGCAGCTCTTTTTTTAATAAAGATTTTATTTATTTACTTGGAAGGTAGAGTTACAGACAGTGAAAGGCAGAGACACAGAGAGAGGTCTTCTATCCACTGGTTCACTCCCCAAATGGCCAGCTTGAGCTGGGCCAATCTGAAGCCAGGAGCCAGGAGCCAGGAGCTTCTTCCAATGCTCCCACATGAGTGCAGGGGATCAAAGAATTGGGCCATCTTCTACTGCTTTTCCAGGCCATTAGCAGGGAGCTGGGTCAGAATTTGAGTACCTGGGACTTGAACTGGCACTGATATGGGATATTGGAACCACGGACGAAGTCTTAGCACACCATGTAACAGTGCTGGCCCTCAATCTTGTATTTCTTAAGGCCTCCATTCAAATGCCACCTCTTCCACAGGCCTTCTTTGAACATCTATAGAAAACTGCAGCACTTGGGGGCAGTGCTGTGGCGCTGTGGGCTAAGCATCCGCCTGTGGCCCTGATATCCCATATGGGTGTCAGTTCATGCCCCGGCTGCTCCTCTTCCAATCAAGCTCCCTGCTAATGCATCTGGGGAAGCAGTAGAAGATGGCCCAAGTCTTTGGGCCCCTGCACCCATGTGGGAGATGCAGAAGAAGCTCCTGGCTCCTGGATTCAGATTGGCCCTGCTCTGGCCTTTAGGTCTATTTGGGGTGTGAGCCAGTAGATGCAAGCGCTCTCTCTCTCTCTCTCTCTCTCTCTCTGTAACTCTGCCTTCCAAATAAATAAATCTTTTTAAAAAATGAAGGTGTCTCTACTGATGCTCAAGCTTCAGCACACAGGCACCCTCAGGGCTGCTGTTGTGTCTGCACCTTGCACTGAATTTCATTGGCTGCAGCAACAACTCTTGAGAAGAGATTGGATCCCCTCCTCATATTCACCCGTGACCTTGAATTCTGGCCTCTGCATTAGGAGCCACCTTTGGAATATATTGAGCCCAGGTGCCCTATTTGTACACCTACTCCTGCCCCTTGGGCACACACAGAGCAGCATAGTGAGGACCTTGGCTTGTGTTAACACCATGCTCTTTTCACAGCAAGCACACTGTCAGAGAGGAGTGGATCCCAGGGACCCTGTTGGCATCACCTTACAGTTTTTATTTTTAAAATGTTTTTGTTGCTATAATGGGAAGAAGTTTTATGTATTCTACAAATACAGCTTTAAGAGCACAATGATACTTTCTACCCTCCCTCACTCCCTCACTCCCATCCTCGCTCCTCCTTCCTTTCTTATTTTTCTTTCAATTTTTACAGTGGAATACTTCCAATTTACTTTATAATCACAATCTTAACCCTCCACTAAATAAAGAATTCCACATGGCCTGGTGCTGACCACCAAGAAACATTTAGGAAACAGATGAAAATGCTGATCACCTGTGCAGTAAGCACCAAAGGTGGATAAAAAGAGTCTCAAAGGAGAAAAAAATATCTAAGGCACTCAGGTGAATCTTTTTTTAATTTTTTTGACAGGCAGAGTGGACAGTGAGAGAGAGAGACAGAGAGAAAGGTCTTCCTTTGCCGTTGGTTCACCCTCCAATGGCTGCCGTGGCCAGCACAACATGCTGATCTGAAGCCAGGAGTTAGGTGCTTCCCTTAGTCTCCCATGCAGGTGCAGGGCCCAAGCACTTGGGCCATCCTCCACTGCACTTCTGGGCCACAGCAGAGAGCTAGACTGGAAGAGGAGCAACCGGGACAGAATCCAGCACCCCGACCGGGACTAGAACCCTGTGTGCTGGCCCCGCAGGTGGAGGATTAGCCTACTGAGCCACGGCGCCAGCCTCAGGTGAATCTTGAGGGAACAGGAGAAAAAGCCTCTTGGGCCACAGCTGAGTTAGAACTTCATTATGTCTCCTTGACACCCAGCAAAACTAACAATAGACCCAGGGAATTTATCTCAAAGGAAAAAGCACTAACATCTTTTTGGTGTCAAGACATTTGCTGGTTGAAAACACTCCATGAACAAAGAAACAAGCAAAGGGAACACCAACAGTTTTAAAAGACAATGGAGGCCGGCGCAGCAGCTCACTAGGCTAATCCTCCACCTTGCGGCGCTGGCACACCGGGTTCTAGTCCAGGTTTGGGCGCTGGATTCTGTCCCAGTTGCCCCTCTTCCAGGCCAGCTCTCTGCTGTGGCCCGGAGTGCAGTGGAGGATGGCCCAAGTACTTGGGCCCTGCACCCCATGTGAGACCAGGAGAAGCACCTGTCTCCTGCCTTCGGATCAGCACGGTGCACCGGCCGCAGCATGCAAGCCGCGGCGGCCATTGGAGGGTGAACCAATGGAAAAGGAAGACCTTTCTCTCTGTCTCTCTCACTGTCCACTCTGCCTGTCAAAAAAAAAAAAAAAAGACAATGGACCAAGAAACACCAAATGTAGGCATTTTCAGACAAAACAGAATTTCTTGTGTGTGTGTGTGTGTGTGTGTGTTTCCTATTTGACCTCTTGGCTTTATACGGTCTGATTATGGATGAGGCAGTCCCCTTTTATTACTTTTCTTCTGTAGCATCTTTTGTTTGTTATTCTTGGCTTTTGAATTTTAATCTCGGTTGTGACAGATCCCATGGGCACATGGGTCTGGGCTGGTTCTGGCCATTTTTCAGCATTGGAGAGCCTTCCCTGATGTCCCTGCACAAAATCCTGCAGATGCCATGGCAATTCTACATGTTTACAATGAAAAACGACCTCACGGAATAAATCCCTGAGGCCCTTGTGTCAGATGCACAACTTACTTCATCATCTGTGGTCCTCAGTGTTAGAACTCAAGACTCGAATCACAGCACTTGCTGTGAGACCTGGGCATTGTCGCAAAGTGAGAAGAATCCATGTGCATTAGAGATGAAAAAATCATACAGCCAATGAGGACACGTGAGTCAAATGGAGTGGCAGGGGCATCAATCCAGGAGAAAGGGTGAGCATTCAAAATAACAGTGAAGGGATGGGCACTGTGGTGCAATGGTTAACACCCTGGCCTGCAGCACCGGCATCCCATATGGGCGCTGGTTCGAGACCCAGCTGCCCCACTTCCGATCCAGCTCTCTGCAATGGCATGGGGAAGCAGTAGGAGGAGGCCCACATGGGAGACCCAGAAGAAGCTCCTGGCTCCTGGCTTCAGATCAGCTGAGCAGTACTGGTTGTGGCTAACTGGGGAGTGAACCATCAGATGGAAGACCTCTATCTCTCTCTGCCTCCCTCTCTAACTCCGACTTTCAAATAAATAAATAAATCTTTAAAAAGATAACTGTATCAAAATCAAAAGGGTCATTAACAGTGAACTAATATGGTTATAATCTAGTGATTTGTTAGGATTAATCATCAAAATTTCAGAAAACTAGATATAAAAGACTGTATAATATACACCAATAATAAAAGAATATAATATATATTAATCAGACAACTAGCTACAAAAGAAGATCCTATATAATTGAGTTATATATAATATATAATATATAACTGAGTTACAGATATCTAAGTTTCTTATTTCGTCTTCTATAAGAATCTGCAGGTCCAATATGAAGGCAACCTTCATCAAAGGACTTTGAAAAATGCCCTCCACCTGGTAGCCAGAGGCAATCTGGCTTGCAAAATAGGATGATCAATTAAACGCACAAGAAAGAATAACAGAGATATGGAAGCCACGTGGAAATATGTAGAAAAGGCAACTTATCAGCTGGAATGCTGCAGGAGAATTTTGAATATGTTAAAAGCAATGAGGGCACCACAGTTGAACTCAGACTTGTCCACACAAAATTTACAGATTTTCATACCACCCCGAAATGTAACTAGACATAGAGAAAAGAACTGACCAAGATACAACAAAGGTGATAAACACTCCAGGTGTCACAGTTGAACGAATGCAACCCAGGAATAAAGAACAGGGGAGAAAGCAAGTGACCATACCAACCACAAATGCATCCAGATGCACCAGTAAGGAAACAATTGCATGTACACTCGTGTATACCTGGTTTTACTTATCAAATCATATGTTTCCTCTGGATGCCTATCATTGAAAGAAGATGGCTACAGAGTATGCACCTCACACACTGCTGTTGGAAGGCAGGGTTAGCAAACAACCCATTAGTCTAATTCTTTCTTTGGAATTATATGCAAATATACCCCATCTTCAAAACAAAGTGACAAGTAGCCTCACTTGGCTGTACACACACACACACACACACACACCACACAATGTATTGTAGCTCTACAGAGATTACCTGATCCCATGCTACCCGTCATTGTTAGGTTTCCATTGTCACCACTTGGTGTCAACCATCTCTCCCTGACTCACTGAGTTCCATGGAATCCCCTCTTCCCAGAACCATCAATAACCACGAATGAATCAGTCCAGCAGGCAAATACAAAAACCCAGTGATTGCTCAGCTCCAGGCTGAGTTGGGCTGGCTCTCGGGTGAGCCCTGGGTGAGCTTTGTCAGCTCTCCCTGTTCCTGAACCTCTCCTGCAGGACCGCTGAGTCCTTGGGCTCACCTGGACAAGACCCCCCCCCCCTGCAACAGGAATGTCTTTTTGGATGGTTGCTGCTGGAGAAGGTGAGGCTGTGGCCCCAGACAAGACAGCAGGAAGGGGTGAAGCCTCACTCCCCACACCTCAGTTGGGCCTCCAACATTTTATCAAACACATCTTCTCAAGCTTGTGGTAGCATCTTCTGAAGGGCTGGAGAAGAGGAGATGTGTACAGCTCCCTGGGTCTTCTCCCTGCTGTACAGCTCCTTCCCTCTGGTTTCCCCAACCTCCAAGCTCACCAGGTCCCTGTGGAACTTTGCCTTGTGTACAGATTAATTTTTCCTGCTCCCAGGAGCTGAGGTTTAAAAGCAGGTGAATCCAATCTTTATTGCTACTTCTCAATGAAGTCTCTGTTTCCAGAGGTCTTTTCTCAACCCTGCGTTAAGGTTTTCCCCAAAGACTAAGAAGAATGATCATACCCATGCCCCCAGGGACATCACAGCACTGTTTGCTAATGGAGGCTCACCCTTGCTAGATTGTCTCCTATCCAACAAGGAGAGCCAATTCCCCTGATAGGAAGCCACAGGTGTCACAGTCTGTGGCTTCATGGTGCTTTTCTCAAAAACAACAACAACAACAAAATAATGAGGGGCTGGCACTGTGGCCTATAGGGTAAAGCCACTGCCTGCAGTGCCGGCATTCCATATGTGTGCCGATTCAAGTCCCGGCTGCTCCTCTTCCAATTCAGCTCTCCGCTATGACCTGGGGAAGCAGTGAAAGATGGCCCAAGTGCTTGGGCTCCTGCACCCACATGAGAAACCTGGACAAAGCTCCTGACCCCTGGCTTTGGATTGGTACAGCTCCAACTGTTGTGGTCATTTGGGGAGTGAACCAGTGGATGGAAAAGCACTCTCTCTCCCTTTGGCTCTCATAACTCTACCTTTCAAATAAATCAGTAAATAAAATTTTTAAAAAATGAACAGCTTAATGCTTGTAACATGAATTAGCATCTGACATCCAGGTCTTTCTCTTCATACACACAGTTCTTGGCAATGAGTGAAGATGTATTTAGCTGTCATTTGGCATAAAACATTTTTCCTCAGTGGAGCAATTGTAAGGATTCTCTCATGTAATTTC